AAAAATAGGTTTTACATGTACTATGTCACGTCTTTGAATATCCAACATTACAATGGTTTTTGTACTGCCTGTGATGACCATATGATGATCACCAGGTGCATATTTTTTTATTCAAGCTTCAGAGTTCAATAGATGTGCTCCTGACGGCCCTCCCATTGGCACGAATGTCGGACAAAACAAGACTGTTAATTAATTCACTTACCGTCGCTTGCATTCTTCATGTCTAGATCGTCAGTGCCTCCCGCCTCACATGCCAGTCTAACTGTGTTATCTGCAACTAGATGGCACCACAAACATGTTGTATGCCATCATGTGTGACACTAAAGTGACTAACATAAAAATTATCTATTTATCATAACCTACATTTAGCAATTTCTCTATTAACAAGTAACAAGTACTAACACAGTAACAACCCTAGAGTAACAATGGACGGAAACCAATAATTATAGAAATCATAGCGAGAACAACAGTACTAGAACTTTTAATTAAGACCGGTCCCACTTCCTCGCACAACAAGTACACGGTGACAGTATACACGTCACCGAACACCTGCGAGACGCTACTATGGATGCCAGGGTTTGAAATTGACGCTCGCACACTCGCAAAATGCGAGTGGATTTCCGAAATTGCGAGTAGAAAATATATGCACTTGCATTTTTGTGCGAGTGACATATAATCTGTTGTGATGACTATCAAAATCCAACATCCCATATCCAGGCATTTTAAAAGTAACAAGTTGTCAACACAAGTCATAACGGAACTAGACCAACTAATTTCTGCAAAATTATAAACACGTACTGTCTACAAACTGAGTAAGGATTATAAACCTCGCGCGATCGGCCGCTACTGTGAGTATTCTATCTTCACGCTTTGTAGTCTGGTTTAATAAAGTCATTTCAACATTATATAACATTTATAAAGTAACTAAAAAGATAACATTTTAAATTAAAGTGTTAGCATATTATACACTACAAAAATAATTATATTAAGAATGCGAGAATGTTTTGGATTTTGCGAGTTGAAATTTGACCCATTCGCAAAAAATTGCGAGTGGTTTCAAAAGTTAAATTCTACCCCTGGATGCTTACTTGTGTTTGAGAAGAGATCGCCGGGGTTCGGTTCTTCCGGCTTGGTCTCGATAAGGCGCAGGTGTGTCACGTCGAGTAGCATGATTCCCTGATGATGCACGCTACACGTATTCAGCCTGAAGTCACTCTTGTTGCCTAGCACCTCACCCGTGGGACTGCAACACAAACACACACACGGATGATAGAGACTAAACACCTCACCCGTGGGACTGCAACACAAACACACACACGGATGATAGAGACTAAACACCTCACCCGTGGGACTGCAACACAAACACACACACGGATGAT